TCAGGTTTGTTACAATAGAGTCTCTTAGAAAGCCCTTCTCAAAGAAATGGAAACAGTTAGGGCAACTTTTTTACAAAGTTCTGCCAGTGCTTCAAGGACATGAAATTGTGTATAATATAATCTAAAATAAATAAATAAATAAATAAATAAATAGGTTCCCTGCTCCAAAAATTATTCCTTGGCTTTAGATGTGACATATCTCCAGACAGACCTTCTTCTCGGTATTCCCACCCGCAAAAAAATATAACCTTGTCTACAGAAATTAGTTACAGCAACACAACATATGCAACCAGCATAACCCTGATTATGTAAGTATATAAGCTTAAGCCTAACTAAAGTTAAGGATGAGCTATACGAGTACAACCGCATGCAAAGGCCAAGGTCTCACCGGTATGAAGACACACAGAAAAGGGTTAGTCTGTATGGAGAGTCAAGTATTCATGCACAAAAACTACCTGTAAAATAGACTTTAGGAGTCATATTTACACATAAGGCCGCAGCTTCATGCGTATTCAAGCTGGTTATGGCTCCCATTTTTCTATTGTTAAACTCTGTCTTGATTGCACTGTATTCTTTAAACGCTTGGCTTCACACCCGTGTAGTTTCTTTCAACTAACTCAACCACGCATTTTAAAGTTTAAATACGCAGTCAGAGCTGCAGGCCCTGAGCCCAGGCACCAGAGCCAAGGAGATGCTATCGTCACACCCAGTCTGAGACACACAACCCGAGGAGAGAAGAGAGCGGCTAGGCACCTCCCGAGAGGAGAGGAGCTCCACAGTGTGCTGGCTGCTCCCCGGGAGATGCATCACTTAGAAGGGCCTACAAAGCCACCGCAGCCAGAGCCAGCCAGAGCCGCCCGGTGCGGACCCTGCCTGCAGGCTGAGCACAGGTTTAACCCGCTCCCCCAGGCCGGTGCTCTTCTCCCCTTCACACCGAACAGTGCCACTACTGGCGGGAAACGAGAGGGGTAGGGCTGCTTCTGTACGAGGCTTGAAGTGTTGGTGGAACTGCAATCTAACATTACACTGGTAAGTGAAGGCTGCTGCTGCTGAACATCTGCTGCCTGCCTGTAGCAGCTAACGCTGTGCACATGACTCCATGGAGGCATACCCCAACCCACTGCCAGTTTCAACAAGGCCTAACAAAATATTCTGAGCTGGATTCACATCACTGAAAACACTCCCCCAGCTCGGTATAAAAGCTCAAACTTCACCCACCACTTCAGCGTTGTGCTTTATGTTGAAACAGATCACAACTTATTACCCACTTATGAGTGGTTTTATGTACATAAAATACATCTTCTAATAAACTTCAACAGCTCTTAGAGACACCTTTCAAGAGAATTTAAAATAGAGTTGAAACATTCTACTTATAAGGCTTCTGCAAGTGTCTGTGAGAGTTTTGTGCACACACGCACACAGAAATACACAGGCACATATGCCTATGTATGTGTAAGCATGGGCAGCCCATCCAGTAAGTCTCCTTTTCATAGTGTATTTATGTATTTTAAGTTTCCATGTTAACATTTTAGCTGCATTTAAATAGTGTATTTATGTATTTTAAGTTTCCATGTTAACATTTTAGCTGCATTTAAATGGTGTGTGTAATGTACATATAACTAAAGAATTCTGAACTTCTGCAAATGCCTGGAGTCAAACTCTTGTCTGAGTCTGCTGAGAGCTGTGTAGCTATCTGAATGGGAATGACTCCTAGCACACCTGGGGACCCTCAGAGAAAGAGGCTGTTGTGGTAATAACTGAGGATTCTTCCCATTTTACCAATGTCCTTGATGGGTTTTTTTAAAGACAAAGTTCTTTCTGAGATGTTTCTACAATCACCTTTACTCCTCATTGCTCTCTTTTTACCAGAATCAAGCAGAATGTGGAAACTTTATTACAGAATATTAATTTTAAATCCCATACTGCTGATCTGGTTAATGCATCTCAGAAATACAGATAGATCAATTTAATTTAAAACAGAGTTCATTTGGCTACAAATTTTAGAAGCATTCATGGAAAAACTATACTACTTACTTAAAATGTTTGGCTATGGATTTTGTCATCCACTCTATTTCACATAAAACAGAAGGTTGTAAGTCTACACTTGGATAAAGCCTTCAAGGAGGCTTCCAGCTCTATTGACAGAGATGGTACAAAGCCACAGCAAATACACTGAGCTCTAATCCCAAACAGTGGTGACTCCATGACTACCACTCCACTAAATCTTTAGCACATACATTCCTAACATGTTAATTTCTCAGGTTTAAACACTAAAAAATTCCACACTTGGCTATACTGAAAAATGTTACCATTCGGATTTAACTCCACTCAGAGACTCAAGGCCAAAGCAGTTTCTGAAATGTGTTCATGTTTCCAGATAAACATGCCTAGAATAATCACTCCATGAGCACATGATGTACCTTCCCTCTCACAGTAACACTGTAAGGTACATTCTCAGCCGGAGGATTCTCTATTCTTTTGCCAAGTAAGAACAGAAATGACAAAACCAACCCTATGGGGATTATTGCACATTCTACCAACACAGCATTCAAGACATCAAAAACCCTGTCAACTTCCAAACTTAAGTTGAGGATGCATCAACTCAGCACCATCCTCCTCAGTATACAGTTTGCTGAGACCTAGCAACAAAACTGGAGAAAATCTAACATCTTCACCTCATCACACAGTTGTTAATGTCTATATTGTAAAGATGTTGTTCACTGAACTGATCAGGTAGAAGATAACCTCCTCCCAGCCCTAAAAAGGAAGAAGTGGGGCAGACAGAAGAAAGAAGCAGCACAACTGCTTTATCTGAATACACTGGCGGTAGAGTAGCTCCATCACTTCTGCTGCTATTCCAAGGTGCACAGAGAGCGTGCAGAAGTGGGGAAAATGGCCTGTTACTTCAGTGTTCATTGCCATTTCTCCAAAAGCTATTAGCATCGCTCATCTCGACCAGTGATTCTTTCTAGTTCCCTCTATCAACAGGTAGTCACTGCCGAAGGCTGAACATTGATTTGCATAATCAGGTTCACACACTTGGTATTAACACAGACATTTTCAGGTTATCAACAGAGCAATAAGGCCAGATAATGACATCATCATCATTACTATAACTTCAGAAAGCAGAAATGGTAAAACAGCAGACTGCAGCATGAAACTGGTGGTCTACTTTTGTTTAATTTCTGACAACAGCAGAATTATTTGGCCTCAAAATATTAAAGTAGCTATTTTTAAGAAATAACCTGCCCACTATGGTCCAGGCTGAATAAAATCCCTGCACATATGTTCATCTCGCATTGCTCCATGACAAAAGATTTAAAAATTCAAGGTTGAGGTCATGCCATTTCACCTACGCATTTCAGATGACACCCCAGAGCCTAGACAAACCAGTTTCACCAATGCTCCCAGAAAGATCAACTTCCTATTACACAAGGTAAACCAGAAGGAACTGTCACCAATTCTTTTTTTCAGCTTAGTCATTCTTTTAGTGAGGTAAAATTCCTTACACGGGATACACCACACACCATTTCTGCAGTGAATTAAATTCCACATCCCCCACATACACCCTGTCAGGAGAACCTATGTGAATTCTCAGACATTTTACTAATGACAGTGAGATCTAATAATGCAATTAACAGAAATTAAAATAAGCTGGTTTGCTTGAAGGCAAATCAGGCAGCCTAAACAGTCATCCCCTGTACTAGACCTAAAAGCAAAACACAACTAAGTCAGATACTGAGAATAAAAACAGTAGTGCAATACACCCACAGAGAACACAGGCTCTCTGGAGTATCACCACAAATTCTGTGATCAAAGAGGTTAGCAGTGATAAGCCCTCCCTTTTCATTACTGTCATATCATTACTGACATTTGCTAAAATAATCCTGCCTATTGTGTGTTTGCACTGAAGTGGGATTTAGAAACAGTTAATGTCAGTTCTAATTCAAGGTGTATGTAAACTGACTAGGAATTCTTTTCCATTAATTAATACTTTGAAACACAGCTCTAAATTGTAAACAAACACATGTAAAGATATCAGTCCCTTTATAAGATACTTCATTTGAAGCACTGCGGGTTTTTTGTTTAGCTCATATCAGGTTTTTAGAAAAAAATATATCTGAATATTAAGATGAACAAATATTCTACCAATTATTTTCTCTCAACTGAAAAATTATATTAATATCCTCAATTTTTATTAAAAAATAGAATTACTGCTTTCCAATATTATTTTTCTATTTTAAAAATATAGCTATGTCTCAAAAAGAATAACATACAATAAAAAACCAGTATAATTGCCTTTCATAACATAACAAACTTCATCATCTTTGTAAAACATGCTGCTTACTACACTATTAATGGTTCATTCCGATACTGTATGAAAGGTTTCACTTTCATTTACAATCTTTTTCCCAAAAAAAGATGACCTGAGTTCAAACTAACACTCTAATCATTAATATAAAAGTACACCAAGTTGCTATAAGCTTTTTTTTTTTTTTAATCAGCAGTAACCACATCTGGCTTAGTACACACTGTGAGCATAAGCAAATTTATTTTGGCTCTAACATGAGAAAAAAAATGAGACAATTTAACGACAATGACATTTCTGCAAATAAAATTGCTAGTCACACAATTTCTTACAAAGCACCCTAAAAAACTGAAAAGGGGTTTGGGATGGCCGTTTTATTTATATTTTTATAGTTTTAAAGTTCTGTGGCAACCAGCTATATAAAGAGATCCTCAACTACGAGACATGTGACGTTCAGTTGTCAGAACAAGCATCAGACACCGAATCTGTGCAGTTCCAGTGTTTGTACCACAAATCACTGTATCCCAGGGGGGTTCTGATTAATCTACAGGATTCACTTTACATGAGCGCGTTCAAGTTAAACACGGAGGAGACGTTCAGATAAATAAAACAACTTTCAAGGATAGGTTTCCACTATTTCTACTTTGATGGTGATTCAAACTACATTGCGGTGACTTTTTAAAATACTTACATGCTAAAGAGAAAAACAGAAGATAAAAGCTGTAACAGCTTTTCTTCTGTCAACCGCAGATGCTAATGCAAACTCACCACGACAGTTTTATCGCAGCACGGATCTCCCCATAAAGCTGTCGCCGTATGGAAGCGATATAAACTGTATCCGATGCAAAGTGGGAATAAGGAGAAATGTCTGAGGTGCCATTCTAAGCCTTTCCCGTGAAAAAGAACGCACACAATGCGGACACACCCTTCCGCAAAAACACGCTAACTCGTGGAATACGAGGGAGATGCAGAAGTCAGAGGGCCCTCGCCTCAGGAATGCCAAGAATCCCCGGAGGAATGCGTGCGGGCCTGTCTCTTATACACAT